CTTCTCAAACTCTAATGTGTATATGAATCACCTGGGGGTCTTCTTAAAATGCAGATTCTGATTTAGCAGGTCTGTGATGATGCAATTCTAACAAGGTCCCAGGTGATGCTGCTGCTCCTCAAACCATCCTTGGAGTAGTGAGTTGATAGTGGCAAGGACTTTAAATCATAGGCAACTGTCTAGAAATCCCTTGCTTTGCCACTTACTGTGACATTCAGCCCAAACTCTTCCTGAAAGAGTTTTGGGACTTAAATGAGACAATAGTATAGTGTGTTGTCTGGCCAATATGAAACATTCAGGACATAATTATTAATAGAGATTGACTTAATGCAAAGGTCTGCAACCCTGACTGCACATTAGAATCACCTGCGGAGTAGTTAAAACGGTGATGCCCTGGCCCAATTCTCAGAAATTCTGTTTGTTTGGTTTGGGCTCTGGACATTAACATTTTCAAAAATTCCCTATGTTATTATGAAACTTCATTTGAGACCCACTGATTTAATGCTTACTCAGTCCATAATCTTCCCCATCTCAGTTGATGGCAACTCTTGTTTTTCAAGTTGCTTAGGCCCTAAGGCTTCATCTTGGATTCCTTTCTCTCTCACACATCACATCACGAAATTCTATCACCTCTACCTTCCAAATATATCCAGAATTTGATCCTCTCTCACCAGTTCCACTGCTACCATTCTGGTCTGCACCACCATCATCTCTTGCCTGCATTGTTGTAATAGCTTCCTAATTAGTCTCCCTGCTTCCACCTGTGCCATCTCCACCCCTCACCCTACTCCCCATTCTCAAAAATACGCAGTCAGAGGAATCTGTTAAAGCACAAGTGAGATCATGTCATTTCTCTACCCCAATTCCTCCAGTGTCTCCTGATTTCACTCAGAATAAAAGTCACAAGGCCCAAATGATCTCCCCCACCACTACCCTGTACACAGGCCTCTTCCGGTACAAACCAGGTATACTCCAGCTGTGTAACGCATATACTGGCTATTCCCTCTTCCTGCAATGCTCCTTCCCCAGATATCTGCATGATTAACAACTTCACCAATTTAAA